TTGGTGGCTTCTTGACCACTTCTTTCTGCTTCAGCTTCTGCGCTTCTCGCACGAGGATCCGTGCGTGCGCAATCAAGGCATGACGCTTATGAATGCGCTCCTCGAGGGTTGAGCGGGTCCGTTTGACTTAGATCCATTCATTCGCTGTTGGCTTGGAGGATACGCCATTCATTTGCTGCTGAAGGGGTTTGCACCTTCTGGACTTTAGATCCGCTTCGTAGCGAATCCCATCAACCGGCTCCAAAGCCTTACCGAGTTGACGCGCAAGTCGTTGGCGCTGTCTTTGGCGTGCCCTCTTTGATAGGGTTGGTGTGCCTTCTGCAATTAACTCCTTGGTGAAGGAAAGGTCCAGATCTGTAGATCCGGGCTCATTAGAGGCCAGAGGGGTATTACAAGGCAGGGTTGCAGCAGCAACGGGGGCCTTGATCTTCCTGCGCTTGCGAGGGGCGGAGGATCTGGAGGAGGAGGACAACAGATACTCCTCGAATTTCAGTTGGTCGAACTCGTACTCGACCTATTCGTAAACCGGGATCTGGATCCGTGGTTGCGGCATGACAGTTTCGACAGCGAAGCTGTTGGCTCCCACTGTGGTCGCCAGCTTGTTTGGGTTAAAAGTTGATGTTTTCATTATCATCGAATCTATTACAACTTTGGTCATTACAATAAACTCAAACGAAAAGAAAAGTTGATCTTTTTATAAGATCTTCTTTACATAATGAAAATAAAGATTACAACTCTTGTCAAACAGCGCAACGGATATTTATCACCCGCTGCTTGTGTGGGTTCTTTGCCTGTGCCGGGGACGTTAATATCCGTGGACCACCGCGGATCAGATCCGGTTAGCAGAAGTTGGATAATCAATGCTCTCACTTCATAAAGGAAGTAATTGCAGTAGCGGTGATTTTGACTAAGCAAAATCACGGCTCTTCTCGGGATTTAAGACTATCGTCCTCAAAATCACAGGTCAGTCTCTCTCTCTCTCTCTCTCTCTCTCTCGATCTTCGTCTCTCTCTCTGGATCTGAGTCTCTCTCTCTCTCTCTGATTCTTTCTCACTCTTTTCTGTTCGTCTCTCTCTCAATCGTCTGTTCGTCTCTAAGCTTAAATCCGGAGGAATAGGGGATGGGTCTCAGATCTCTCGAACTCCACTCTTTATGCGCAGGAGATTGCCAAGATCTGTTAACCCTTGCTGTAAATTCGTGGCTCCACTCTCCAATTCGGCAGCGCTTCGCCCTCTTGATCTCCTCCCTCCAAAAGGAACACCCGAGCCTTTTATTTATAGGCTTGATTGATGGTTTCTTCAGCTCAAAACGAGGGATCCCCTCCATCTTCAGTTAGCCACTACATAACCACTGTATCAGAGCAGTTGGAACTCCCAAATCCGAAAGAATCCATAAAAGAACCGAAAAAACCAACTTTTGGCCGAACAGTCACCCGTGGCTCGTCCCTGGCCGGGCCACTGGTCTGACCGAGTCGCTTTGGCGCGATTCGGTCGCCAGGGGCATTATCTATTTTCCGGGTTTTGACTTATCCCGTCATTACACGTATTTTGTCGTTTCGTTGACTTGTACGCTTTCCCGATTCGTTTCGCGAACGCATGGATAGCTTGACGGTGGCCGATGAGTGTGCGGGCCACTTGGTTCGCCGATTTGGTGGCTGGTGAGTACACGGGCCACTTGGAGGTGGCCGATTAGCACGCATGCCACTTGGTTTGCCGATTTGGTGGCTGGGGAGTACACGAGCCATTTGGAGGTGGCCGGTGAGTGTATAGGCTATTCGGTTGGTGAGTACACGGGCCACTTGGAGGTGGCCGATTAGCACGCGGGCCACTTGGTTCGCCGATTTGGTGGCTGGTGAGTACACGGGCCACTTGGAGGTGGCCGATTAGCACGCAGGCCACTTGGTTCGTCGATTTGGTGGTTGGTGAGTACACGAGCCACTTGGAGGTGGCCGATGAGTGCATTGGCTATTCGGTTCGCCGTTTCGCTTCATGTGTTCATCGGCGTCGGATAATCCTCTTAGACTTAGATAGTAGCGTTCATCACCTTCTCTCTGTCTCGAGTTGTGCGTCGATACCTATAGGCATTTTTAGACGCCTACAGGTATGTGTTCACTTTGACCCATGCGTCGGTGTGTTTGAGATACACCTTGTAGTCTACAGTTGCTTTGTCGATGACAGAGACAGAGTATATGGCGATAAGGAGGCAATTTGGCTTCGGGACTTTTGGAGGACCTTGGTGTTTCGCAGTGGTCTGTCACAATTGATTGTGATAGAATGAGTGCTATCTATTTGACGAAGAATCAAGTTTTTCATACGAGGACGAAGCACATTGACGTTCGCTATCACTTTTTCCGAGATGTTCTTGAAGATGGGGATGTAGAGCTTGTGAAAATCCACAACAAAAACAATCCAGCAGATATGCTCACGAATGTGGTCCCTAGCAACAAGTTCGATCACTGTAGAAACTTGTTGCAGATTTGTGCTTGTTGATACTTGTTGAGGCCATTTGGAGGAACTATGGGCGGCATGATCCCTTAGGAGAGGGGGTACGTAGGTAACCACATTGGTACAGTCGGATTTATGAGACGAAGCATTGGTGCTCTTGTTGGTGTCGACTCAGTTTTGGGAACACTTCACCGAGGTGGGGAATTGTTAAAAAAAGGCGAAGAATTGTTGAAAAACTCTGGTCGGTCGACTGATAGAAGTCATCAGTCGACCGATACGTGCACATTGCAAGAACCAAAAAATTCACACTGGACAGTCGACCGATGAATCCATATCGGTCGACCGATGAAGACTTACCACTCAACTGATGTATCCCCATCAGTCGACCGATAGCGGGCTGAGCGGTTGACCCGTTTCCGAGCCTGTTTTGGATTGGGGTTGTTTATATAAATAGAAGCACGTTTTGTTAGGGTTTTTTATCTGAGAAAAGAGAGTTGTTTGAGCACTTTGAGAAAGAGATTTTTTAGGGTGAGTGAGATCTTGTTGGTTAGGGTTATTGTGATTGTTTGAGAGTTGTAACCCATTGTATTTCTCCTCCATATAGTGACATCTTCCCATACTCTCCCCGTGGACGTAGGCAACTTGCCGAGCCACGTATATCTCTATGTTTGTGATTGATTTTGGCTGTTTTATTGTGGATTGTGCTCGTGGAGTTCTTTGTTCATTGCTTATTGACTCGTTGTGGTTTGAGTATGCTTCCGCCGGGCGCAACAATGATTACTACCGTTAGAATCCTGGTGTCGTTGCTTACTTGCTTTGCGATCTATGGCCCCATGTCTCTGAGTTTTACCTTGACGGATTCTTCTAAATCACCATTGAATTTCAAAGAGGAGATATAAAAAGATCAATCAACTTTCTGATTAAGATTGCTGAGTTCTGGGGTCCTCATTGTCCATTATTTGATAGGTAGGAGGGCCGAAGGATGTGAAATGGTTGCTGGAGGTCGTAGCTTTATCACATGCTGTATGGAATCCAAAGTCATATCAAATGACTCCAAGGTAACCTTTGTCTTCTTCAATTATTACCTTCTCTTTATGTCGTACTGATTTGCATCAAAGAGTCCAACAATTTAATTACTGTCCTCAACTTTGACGCTAATAAGGATAATGCTATACCTGCATTTAGAGGAATTACTGATAAGACATTCCAATCTTCTTGATTATTTACTTACCAAATAGATTGTGCTGGAGTGTAATTCTGTTAGTACTGAACACTCAGACTTCATCATGCTTCCTGTGTGCAGTATGTGACCCATGTTGGAGTACAGTGAGATTTATCTATGGAGATGACTGAATCAGCAACTGTCTCCTCTCAGAACAAAAAGGTATAAATATCAGGACCAGCCCTTATACTCTGCTTGGCTTAAGAATAGTCTTAAAATTTGCCACCACTGATTTGACTGACCATCAAGGTAAGAAGTATATTCAACCTTTGCATATTGGGTTAATTGCCCCCTTTTGTATTGTTTTTTTAAACTTACTAACCCTCTAGTTTTATTGTTTCCAAATAGATCCGTTGGGTGAATTGTTTTGACTCTTTTATCTTTTGAGGGGCTCTATTTATCAAGGAATAATTTTCTCTTTCTCTAACGGTAAACGAGTAAAAAAATAAAAATTCAGTTGTTACCCTCCTGTGTTTAGGGGAGCGATAAGAAATCTCATCATTGTCGCATGTGTTAAGGGGTCCACATATACTTATCGTTCTCTTGATCACCAGATCATTGGTGATCCCCATGTTTACTGTATCTTAAAGACCTAGAGATTGACGTTCAGTTGTTACCCTCCTGTGTTTAGGAGAGCGATAAGAAGCATCTGAACCATAAAAAGAGGGAAACATTAGGTGGGCCACCCATGAGGCCCAAAGCAACAGCTGAAGAGTGAAGACCAGAGAAGAAAAAAAGTTTCTAGAGTGAGAAGGGGAGCATCATCAATGCTTTCCATGTGCACGCTCTCTTTCTCTCACCCCTTGATTTCTCACCTAATCTTCCCCTTTTGCTGCTTCAGCTTCTCCTTCAGTAATCAGCTTAAAATAAGGTAACTACAATTGCCAACATCACAGTCCAAATATACATTTACAGTTGAGGCCATCATGATTGTATTCTGCAACCCTTTTTATTTAACCAGAAAGATAAGCTAAGTTCCCATTTGCATATTATCTTCTTTTGAATATATTTCCCTTTCCAGGCATCTACATGATGCTGGTCCAACAAGGTTATACCTTTATTTTTTCCATAAGTTCATCCTCATATTTTGTTGAACGACATTGGAGTAGTTACACCTACTACTCTGTTTACATAGTTATGAAAGGCATTGTTACTGTCATAACTCATAATCTGCTTGCAACCAGGTTGACCTGAGTATTTGCACTATTCAAGTTATGAGTCCCATATACACTAGATCAC